TACAATATCAGTCACATGGGCTAACTGAATTGATTAATATCAACCTAAACTTTTTGAACACAACAAAATATAGTAAACTCTTATGTAACCAAATACCATGTGTAAAAAAAAAAAAAAAAAAAAAGATGTAACTCTGGAACAATATTATAAAAAGATGCATGTTTTTAAAATTTAGTTAAATGCTAAATCAGGTAAAGCTTATGCATGTTGCTGTTGGTAGGTAGCATCATTTCTAAGGCTATAGCCTAGGGTATGTAACAAAACCTTCTGAGATTTGTTCTTCCAATTTAAAGAGATTTATATAACCACAGATAAACTGTAGAAGTGTTGTATTGGGGAATAATTTTGGATAAATGAATTTTTCACTCCAGGTTAGACACAGTTCATGCAAGAACATGAAAACATACCAACATTATCTAGTCTGTACTAAAATATGTACGTAAAAACATTATAAAGTCAGTAATAAAATATGTACATGACAACATACCAGTCAAAGAGCTGTTAAAACATATATTGCTTACAATGTACAGTACTAGACTGTGAGGTGCCTAGGGTATTACCAAGACTATGTTAGTCAACTGAACCTTTCTTCTGGTTATTTCTGTATTCTCTTTAGATGGCAAGGAGTGTCTTTAAGACACTTTTTTTATATATATATATATTATTACATACACACCACCCTCTTCATAATGATTTAATTTGAAATACTTGTTCAATTGAAGACACCAACATTCACAGGTGAATGCAACATATCGCATGATTAATTTTGATACCAGAAAAGTCATGAAAAAACACTGGGATATCAAAAACTGTCTATATCACTGCTTGGGATCTGTAAGAAGGTATTTTTGTACCAAATCCCATGTACGTTGGTTGACATACAAATGAATCATTCAGGAAAAACCCAAATTGTACTTTCCTTGCTGAAAAACTGAATAAAAGGCAAAAATCCAAAAACTGTCTATACCTCTGCTTGGGATCTGCAAGAAGGTATTTTTGTACCAAATCCCACATAAATTGGTCGAAATATGGGTAAGTAATTAACCACAATCCCTACAATTATGGGTTTATTCAACTTTTTTAAACCCTCTAAAATTACCAAAAATTGGCATATCATGTACGTATATGTATGTGGTCTGTAAAAAAAAATCTTTGTTAATAAAAATGAGCAAATCCAACTTTTTGTACGCCAATGTTTTGGGTACATGAGAATTAATAAGTGTGCCAATTTTCTTCTCGATTGCTGTAAATATGACTGCACAGGAGCCCAAAACCTAATAAAATCCTTAAAAAAACCTAAATAATAAAAATGGATCAAAGTACCAGGTTTTAAGTCAATCCGCCAAGAAATGAAGGAATGATGATCAATTGGAAAGTATTTGGAAGAAGAAACAGTACATAATAAAAATAATAGGAACCATAAAGGCAACAAATGATTTTACGCTGAATAGGGAAAACATATAATAAATACAGTGCAAAAGGGCTGTACATTGTACTAGCAATTCCAAGATATCAGCATTTATGCTTATTTCCGTGGCATAGGTACTAAATTTATTGAAACAATGTACAGTGTTTTTTGGTAAGACATATTTCACAGAAAATACTTAAGACATCACAATAGTTTTATGTAAAACTGCAGACATTTTATTCATTTAAAACAAGTTACTACAGGGTGTCCGAAAAGTCTGGAACCATAGACACCTCAATGAATTTCACAGAATGTGTTCCACATGCTATTATTGTAAATCGAAAGAAATTTGGATTATCATATCTGAAATTATGAAAAGCTACAAATCACTTATGGTTCCAGACTTTTCAGACACCCTGTTGAACAACACAATTATGGTTATGCATTAGAACCTTGTCTAAATATCTCATGCATGGTTCAAGCTGTATTATAATTTTAAAACATTATTACTTAGATCAAGTTGGATTATATTATAATAAAGTACTCACATATACTTCATTATTCTACATTTCACTCTCCGCGATCTATAACGGAAGGGAAGAACAGGAAAAAATATCTTTTTTTGCTGCAGCAACTTGCAGTTTATAAGGATACTTATAAATCTGTTTAAGTTATTAGGATAGATCTTCGGGAGTTGTTTATATAATCCAGAGTAGAGACCCGTAAAGCGACATGCATAAAATATGTCCGATTTAGAATGAAAAATCCAATATTCTAAAATTATGCCCCAAATCAACACCTCTGCACTTTAAAAAGAGGGATCTTCTGCTAAAATCAGTTAAAGAAATACTGGGGAATTGTTTATATAATCCAGAATAGAAACACGTAAAGCGACATGCATAAAATATGTCCGATTTAGAATGAAAAATCCAATATTCTAAAATTATGCCCCAGATCAACACTTCTGCACTTTAAAAAGAGGGATCTTCTTCTGCTAATATCAGTTAAAGAAATACTGGGGAGTTGTTTATATACTTGAGTCAAAGGTTTGGAAACAACTATATCTATACACACACACATTTTAAATTACTCTCCTCAAGTAACAACTCAAAGCGAGGTTTTACAATTTTGAATAAATAAAGGTAAATACCACTTGGTTGTTTCTTTTAGCTCAGAAAATAAATAAAAAAAAACAAATTTTCTTTAACTTTTATTATCTTGTTCTGTCATTCTGCTTTTCACTCATTCCCATTACCATTATTCAATCTATGTCTACCCTGCCAAAATGTATGTGTCCTCTACTCTTACCAATCTTACCATTAAATATGAGAAAAGATGATGCATCAACAATACTCTTTAACACCTCAAACATGTTCTATCAAACTCTTTTTTTTTTTAATTGGAAAATAATTTCAGAGATCTTAACCTATCATCATGTGACAAGCAGCTTTCCATCCCAGTCATCATCCTAGTAGCCCTCTTCTAGACCTTTCCAACAATTTAATGACCTTCATAAGGTAAAGAGCCCAAGACTGAACACATTACTCCAAATGTTATCTAACCATTGACCTATACAATGACATTATAACCTCTTTAGATTTGTATTCAGTATTTTTGTAGATAAACCTAAAATCCTATTTGCCTTACCACTAACAACAGTACATTGCTTGGGTGGCTTAAAAGGCCGACTATCCAAAATACAAAGATATTTTTCTTCCATAACACTCTCAGGGTTATCTCCATCAAAATTATACTCTTTTACCTTAAACTATGATATCCCATGTGCATTACCTTGTATTTGTTGTAATTAAAAGCCATTCATTCAACTCCCCTTATAATCCAAATCCTTTTGTAAACAGCAGCATTTTCCTCACAGCCAGCAACTCCAAAAACTTTAATGTTATCAGCAAATTTAAATACTTTTTTGACCATTCCTTCATCTATGTTATTGATGTAAGTTAAAAACAGCAAAGGTCTTAACAGTGAGCCCTGAGGTACCCCACTTGTGACATGAATCCAGTTTTGTTGGACTCCATTTATAACAACCCTCTGCTATCTTTTCTCCAGACAATGTTCTATCCAATTAGCCAAGCCATCCTCCACATTTACAGAGATAACTTTTTAACAAGCCTTTTATGTCGCACCTTGTCAAATGCTTTCTGAAAATCAAGATACACCAAATAACAAATGTACTATCATCTATATAAGCAGTAACTTCTTCAAAGAATGTCAACAGATTAATAAGCCAAAATTTTCTCCTACCAAAACAAAGCTGACTACCTAACAAAATTTAAAATTTTTTAAATCTTTCATAAGACTTTCAAAACCTTTTTCTAACACCGATATGAAACTAATAGATCTATAATTACTACAATTTTTATCACCTCTCTTGAAAAGAGAAGTAAAATTAGACAACTTCCAATTTTCAGGAACTTATCCAATATTCAATGACTTACAAAAAAAAAAATACTAGTAAGTGGCTCACGTATCTAATCATCAACCTTCTTCAAAACCCTTGGAGAAATATTATCTGGTCCAGGAGTCTTATCATTTATTAAACTTCCCAGTTTTTCTTAAAAAGCTCAGAGTTAATAAGATCATCTTGTTTGATCATGTTTTCATCTAGCAACGTTTTATAATGAAGAATATTGCTTAATTCTTCCTTAGTAAAAACTGAAGAAGAAGCAAAATTTAATAATCCAGCCTTCCAATAATCATTAGATATCAGCATTACTGTATCATTCTTCAGAGGTCCTACTCCCATCCCAACATTTTGCTTACCCTTAATGTATTTAAAGACATTCTCACTGTTAATTTTTATATCTTCAGAGAACCTTTTTTCGTATAGTTTTTTTTTTAATTTCCTAATATTCCATTTTTACCAACTCTCTTGATCTTCTATAGTCCTCCAAATCTCCCAATCATTGCAGCCAATTTAAACTTCTTATATTTATAATGCTATTCTTTAAGTGCATCCTTTATACCCTTTGTGAACCAACCTGTTATTTTAATTGCAGCCACTATTTTTCTATAAAGAACATGCCTAACTCGAATATTTAAGAATTTATTTTTAACATTTTTCCACATTTGATCAGTACCTCCAATTACTTCATTTGCCCAATTCATAGCAGATAAATCTTGTTTCACCTCTTTAAAATTTGTTTTTCTTTTGAAATTTGGAAGCAAAATCTCAGTATTTCTTATCTCTATAGCCAGCGAGACATCCATGAAATGATCATTTGCACCCAGATGTTCTCCAATCTCCACTCTGTCAACCATTTCTATATAAATCTAAAACAGCAATATTCCTACTAGGTTCACTAACCAAATGTTGAAGAAAACCATCCTGAATATTTTCTAAAAACCTGTCTCCTTCAAATTTCATTCTTAAAATTTCCCAGTCTATATGGCAAAATTAAAATCTTCCATTATTATAACCTCATTATCATCTGAATTATTCATTTCACTGTAGAGTTTCTCATTGATTTCATTAGTTGCACCTTGTGATATGTAACAAATTCCAACTAAAAGCCTTCCTTCTCCCCTTATAACCACTAACAGAAAACCAAACAGATTCAAACTCATTGATGTTAGCTTTGATACCCTCACCTTGAATAGGATGTAACTCATGTTTTACATACAAAGCCACTCCCCCTTGTTTTAGTACTCTATCTCTACTAAATAACCTATAACTCTGTATTTCAAGTAAATTCCTGTCATCAAAACTGTCTACATTTAAACAAGTTTCAGTTATTTCGATTACACTAAAATCCTCTGTTCCAACCAGTGTGTTAAGATAGTCCATTTCATTCATCATACTTCAAGCATTACAATAGTAACAGTTTAGCCTACCATTAAAACTACTTTTGTGCTTTCTTCCTACATTATACTTTCTCTACATTTTATTTTTTCTATTCTGGCCCTCATCACTGTCTAACCCTAGTTTAAAGCTACTCTTATAGTTAATGGCCCATACAAACGAGCCAACCCTAATCAATTTAAAGGTAAACCATCCATTCCAAAAACTCACTTTTCTCATTGAACTGATGCCACAAACTTATCCAGCCAACCTGCCCACCTTTAAATATTATCATAAGCATAGTATTCAGCCCTAGTGACCTACTTATAATTTCATCCCTACAATTAAGTCTTGGCTGTATCCCTGCCAGAATTAAGTTATTATGGTCCTTTTCTTTGAATATACCTTTATCAATGCCTTGTACTTAACAGCAAACTCTTCTGACCTAACCTTCCTTTCACTATTAGGCCCTATGTGCTTTACAAAGACTGCATCATTGTTATCACATTTACTATATCACACGCTCTGTCAAATATATCCTCCATCCCTGCTCCTGAATAATATAATCTAATTCTTTTTTCCCTATTCACCCTACAGGTTATACCATCCACACGTTATACTAAATAACCACCTTATGTCTTTCCTTTCCATTGCTATCTATCCATTTTGTTATACTTCGCTCCTCCAGTTCATGCACAAGCTAACGGCTGAAACCTGTTATTTAACAGAAATTGTTCATTATAATTAAATCCAATACAACTAGACATTTCAGTACTGTTTTTAACTTCCTGAAATCATTATTAGCCAACATTATAATTAATTCACTACAACCAGACATTTCAGTACTGTTTTTAACTTCCTGAAATCATTATTAGCCAACATTATAATTAAATTCACTACAACTAGACATTTCAGTACTGTTTTTAACTTCCTGAAATCATTATTAGCCACCATTAATTAAATAAAATTCCATTACTGCTTGGAGCAATGATTTTACTCCACACATGTCAAGCTTTTCTTGCAAACTACTGTCTTTTTCTTCCCAAACAAAACAATTCCTATGAATTACAATATGCTCTTTCTATTAGTTAGAAACATGTCCACTACAAAAGAAAGCACAAGTGAAGAGCAGGTTTGAAAAGATAGGAGGTGCTTCTACTGTGGGTTTGATAAATATACTTATGTCTCAGTAAGTCGAGAAAGTAGGAGGTTAATATGTGTAGTTTGTGTCTAATTTGTTAGGCATTATAGAAGCTGTATCGTTGAAGTTATGTAGATGGGGAGATCAGAGGGCAGACGTGTCACATGATAGATGATTGAAGGTTGAAATTTCTTTTAAACGTTTCCTTTTGAAATTAAATCTTAGATAATATTAATGTCTGATTTATAAACTACATTTGGATTCTAAGTGTATTAATAATAGAGTTTTTATTTTAATTTTGTCTATGAAGGTTGTGACATACACACTACAAGATAAGTCAAATTGACAGAGCCCATATGCATAGGAGTAGCTAAAACTGACCATTTAAATATAAAAATAATACACGTACTTAATACAGCCCCACTGGATAATGTGCCAGTTGCCTAAAAAAATGCCCCGTTTTTGACTTTTTAACCTGCATGTTTTTTTCTGTTCAGATTTTAAAATTGTTAAATATATGTTATGTAATCTTTCAAGATTTTATATTATTAATAAAAACTTATGAGTGAAAGTAAAAAAAGAAGTGCATAATAATATTGCAAACACACTATATCTGCTATATGACAAAGCATTTTGCCTAATGACAGGGCTCTTCAGGCCAGCTGAGATATGACATAGTTGTGGTTGAGATGCTATTTATATTAGCAAGTTGTTTGACAACTGGTATGGAGGAACTAGAATAAGTTGATGGCGTGTAGTTGTTCATCAATTTTAGTTAGGTCACAATATCTCAAGATTAGCACAAGGATTACTTAACACCACATATAATTAATTACAGTTTTTCTTGAATTAACCTGCTTGTTATTCAGAAGAACTGACAAACCAGCAAGGTGTAGTTTTTCATCAATTTTAGTTAGGTCACAATATCTCAAAATTAGCACAAGGATTACTTTACACTAGATTTGTTACTTAACACTTCATATAATCAATTACAGTTTTTCTGAATTAACCTGCTTGTTATTCAGAAGAACTGACAGTGACATACCCACAGCATCAAAGAGAGAAGACTACATTAATAATTATAAGTAAGAACTGAGGGAAAGTAAAGACAAATGTATAATATTCAACCACACTATATCCAATGTTGACATGTTATTCACCACATTATTGTCCTTGCAAATACACCAACAACCTATTGCATTACAGCTAGTGGACAGATAGAAATAATTATGTAACTACAAAAACATAACTATCTTGAAAACTTTATACTGTGTAGATTCCAATACGCATTCCACTCCCTTTGTTTGGAAATTTGAAATTACATCGATCAAGTTAAACAGATTCTCAAATATAAATTTTGGCAGGGTAGACTCATTTTCAACTGAGCATTATTTTTCTAACAGAGTGATTGGTCTTTGGAATGGGTTGCCTTCAGATGTGGTGAATGCAGTTAATTCAAGGGAAGACTTGATAAACATTTGAATGATAAGTGATGACTTTGGGTGTTTTATTTTCATTTGAAGTTTAGTGTATAGGACAGCTTAAATGGACCAAACAGATCCCTTGTTGTCTTTAAATTATAAGCACCTGTAAGATTGAATTTATTGCAGTTTGATTTGAGAGGAACAATCTTATAATTTTTTTTAGCAAGTGAGATGTTCCAGTCAAAATTTGAAGAATGAAGCAAAAGAAGTAGCTTTGATGGATGACGAAGATGCCTTGGGTCCTGTTAAAAATATACAGTCTACTGCAGAGTCTCTTGCAGCAAAAGGGTTTGTTTACATTCTGCTTTACAGTTATCTGTATTTAAAAATATGTACTGATTAAATATTTTCTTGTAAGCCATGTAATACTAAACTTAAGATAATTTAAAGAAAACGATGGTATTTTCATGCATTGCTTATATGCATGTGTTCTCATTTACGATTTTTTTCTGGTGGATAATATAGCTACCACACACATATTACTCAGTCCTTATAAAAAATTAGTTTGTTGTGCATGTAGCAGGAACAGAATGTTTTAGGAGGATACCAAATGTCCCCTAGTCTTACAGTTCTCACCATTAAGTACATACCTTGTAACCTTTAAGTGTTTGCTAGAATCACATACAGTAGTTGTTAGACAGCATAAAGCAAAAAAATAAAAAATTAAATGTCCAGATATAACCTTTTTAAATTTTAGCACCCTCAAGCATAATTTTTAAAATTCCATCTACTAAAGTAAAATTGTTTTATTTAGTTTTAACACAAATGTTTTATCTCAAAACTGTCTAACTAAAAAAGTAGGTACACCTTATAAAGTAGAAGTCATCAGAATTATCTTACATAACTTACTGACACAAAATACTGTTTAAACTACAGCAAAAACAATTTATATAAATTTGATGATCCAATGTTTAAAAAAGCACAAATCCTTGTATATTGTAGTCTGCCTGCAGGTTTTACATGTAACTGTCTAGACATTTTATAGTTAGTCAGTAGTAGATAATGCTAAATAACAAAAATACAAATGATTTACAAATTACTGTCACTGGCCTGAAATGATTTTATTTGTTAATATTGATTCATTCTTGTTACTTAACTTCAAAAACTATTTTAATGTGCAGAAATCCAATAAATATGGTTGGTTGGTTTACAAACTGGTTCTATTACTTCACTAGATTTTGGCATTTCAATTTTTTCAAACTACATATAATTTAAAATGGTATTTTTTGAGGGAATTCTGGCTGCCATCATGGTCCAGCACAACTGACCAGTTTTCTCTTCTTGTAGTGAATGAAGGGCTTCCCCAGAAGTAGCTTGGGCCCGACATGGCCAGGTGGTTAGGGCACTCGACTCACAATCTGCGGGTCGCAGGTTCAAATCCCTGTCACACCAAACATGCTCACCCTTTCAGCCATGGGGGCATTATAATGTGACGGTCAATCTCACTGTTTGTTGATAAAAGAGTAGCCAAAGAGTTGGCAGTGGGTGGTGATGAGTAGCTGCCTTCCCTCTAGTCTTACACTGCTAAATTAGGGACGGCTAGCACAGATAGCCCTCGTGTAGCTTTGTGCGAAAGCCATAGCAAACAAACAAACAGAAGTGAGTTATGTCTAAAACATAAAAGTGAAATACTATAATCTTAAACAACCACTCATTTTAAATGCAAAACTGATAATAGACTAGCTATGAGGAATATAAACAAAAAGCTTGATTTTTATTGGAAATACGAAGCCTACCCTCTACTGAGACTTCTGTAGAGACATCAAATATAAATTCACTGATAAGTATAATCAGGGCTGGCTTTATGCATAGGCATTTGACTATAGTAGCAGAATGTTTTGACTCTGAAGGAGCAACAATAATTACAGTTGGTCAACAGTTCTATTGGGTCCAACCATCCATGTTTGATACATTGCCAAAATGAAACCCCATACATTGTATCTCTGTTGTATTTGCTTAAAAATGCTTGCCAATTTAGGGCTTTCTTGATACAGTAGAAAGTGTGAACCATACAGCCACTAGATGTGCCCCTGCAAGCATAAACAAGATTCACAGATATAACTGCTTAATGGGTAGTTGAGCCACACTAAATTTAGAAAAAAAATATTTGATTAAAGTCTTGAGCTGTTACTTCTCTAAGAAGATTAGCAACAAGAAAAAAAAAAGCCCTGTATAATATTTCAAAATAATTTTAAGAGAACAGAGACGTGGATCATTCTTGTAAACATATATTTGCTAAATTTCACATTTCCTCTATACTAATATATCTTGGAATTTTCTATAGAAATCTGGCCATCTTCTCAAAGTTTAAAGGATGAACTAATATTTTTGGTTTTTTTTATAATTAAATAAAACTTTCTGGTACTCTTTTTTTTTCATTCTGAACAGAGATTTGAACTCCTTGTGATATCAGAAATCTGAAATGCCCATCAACATGACCAAATTCACTCATATTCCAGACCACGAGGGAGTAAAACTCAAAGTCCAATCCAAAATCCCACACCAAACAGAATAGTGGCCTAACTTGCTGCACAAAAAAAAGAGACCTGGGTCCTTCACAGTTTTAGGAATTATTTTGAAGTTTACTAAGAAAGGCTCAGTAAAGCTTACCAGCTGTTGCAAGGTGGCTAAGTGCAATACCTGTCTGAACGTGAACACTTCTCCTATTTTCTGGACGGGGAACACATTCCACCCAACCTCCTAAACTCTGCTCCTTCGTGGCTGAACACTAGTGAGACGTTATTTCTTTTTTGCACAGTTGTTTTTGGTTCTTATTTAAGTACTGGAAACAGTAATACCTCTCTATTGCTCACATATTCCCCGAATTCAGTCTAACTGACTGGCACACTCAGTGAGTGTTAAGACAACGTAGTGTACTGTAACTTGTAAGTATAATCTGAGTAAACATTCACTGCTCGGCAGAACTAATGTATCCTACAGTTATAGAGTAACTATGTTATCAGCCTTTCATATTTACATATATTATTGTTTGAATTTTTTCATTGGCATTTATACTTGAGTAATATCAAATAGTTTAAGCATCATCCTTATCATTATCAACTGGTCTGGGAGCGGTAA